TGTGCAGGGAGGAAGGAGACTGCAGAAGCCTCCAGATGCAAACAGAGACCTTTCTGAGATGGATCAAGGGCTTCTCCCAGATGTTTTGGGATGTGGGGAAAGAGTTTGTCTCCCCACAGCTCAGGCTTTCTCCAGTTCCTTGATTCCCCTGCTGGGCAGGGCACGAGAGATGTGTTGGAGCACAGCCCTACTGAAGCATTTATGGGGAGATTAACAGCTGGCTGAAGTGTTGAGCAGGACCCTGACCCTGTCCAATATCTTTCCTCAGCTCCCAGACTTGCTGGTGAAGAATTTTGGCTGTGGCTGTAAGCACCCTCCCAAGTTACCCAAGCACCTGGCTCCTTGCTTAGCAAGACCCAAAAAAGTAAGGGGCATTCCTGCATGAAACGTCACGCCATCAGGCACTTTCACGTCAGCACGCTCTGCATAAGAAACCAACTATCAGGAAGAAAACAGGCTCTTGCAAGTGTCTCCAACCTCCCAATGGAGTTGTTAGGAAGTTGCCCCTGTTTTAGTTGGCACAGCTGACCTGCATCAGAAGCGCTGGACCTATGGATAAGACAAACTGGTATTTGAAACAGCTGAGCTTTCAGACTCAGCCCTGAAGGTAACAAACCATTGGAATAATTTCCCTCATGATACCATTTGTAGCTTTGAAATTCAAGCATTAGATACTGCTCAAAACAAAAATATGTCTGAGTGCAGAAAGCATGCCACGGCATTCTCTGTTTTCTTGGGCAAGCAGACAGGATCATTGTCGGGATTTCTTCCGCTCCTAAAAAGATACCTGCAAATCCTTTCAAGGTTGGCAGCTATAGTGTTTCTGGTAACCAGCAATTTTTTCCTACTATCAACATGGAGTACAGCCCAGCCAAAAGAGCACAAGTCAGATGTTCCCAGGTCTAAGCTCAGGCCGGTGTGCTGATGGTCACAAAACTTTGGGCACATCTCTAAAAGTTTCTGTGTCTCAAATTTCCTCAGCTGCAACTGGATTCACCACCCCCATCGCACAGGTAACATGAAATCCTGACTGCTGATGGTAAGGCATGCAGGCGTTCTCCGAGGAAAAAAGCAGTGAGCGAGAAGTGTGCGAAGGGAAGCAGTGCTCAGATCAAGAGAGCTTGCTTTCCTTCTTCAGTGTCATTCTAAAAAGATTTCTTCCTTTTAGAAATAAAAGACTTAAGTAAAAGCAATGACTTGTGTTGTGGCAAACAACATTTCCTTGTGCACAAGGATGTAGGTTGTAGCCGTGTTGGTCTAAGGACATCCGCAGACAAAAACTTCAGGAAGCGGGATGCTGTATTCCTCCTAGGAAGGGCTAGCTAGGAATCTGAATGGAGGAGAGTCCAGAAGCTGTCACACTTGCTATAATGCCCCTTCTGGTATCTGTGGGCTTGTTACCCAACAGTGATTTAAAATGAATATCAACCCAAGAGCCAAATTCTCAATCTGCACTCTAGCAGCAGCTCTCAGGGGCCCAGCAAGGCCTCTCTGAAGCACGAAGAAAAAAACCAGTCCAGACCTTTCCAGGGAAGGACCTGGAAACTCAGGAGCTTTAACAAAAAGCATTCTGGCTACTTAATACATCAGAACACGGCACGTTCCCAAACCCACAGGAGAAGGAGGAATTTCTTGATCCTAATAGATTTCATGTGTTACTACCTCATGTCTGCAACATACTCCAGAGATGTCCCAGGCTGTGAAAGCAAGGCAAGAGTTGTCCTTCAGATGGGTGATGCCCATTTCCAGGGCATCTCCAAAAGGCAGGCAGACAGAAGACAAAGTGAGAAACGCTCCTCTTCCTGCTTTTGAGGAGTGGGTGTCACTTTCTTCCCAGTGAAAGAAAACCTATTAATGAACTTGTCCTATCGACAGGAAAATAAAGATTTGCCATGCAAGAAACAAGCTTTCAGGAAAGTTCACTGATGCTTCAATATTTCCAGGAAAACAAATCAGTAATGGAGGTGGAAAAAACTGCTTGAAGCTGCTGTGGAGAATTAAATGCATAGCAGGACACTTGTCAAAAAATTAATAAGGAGGCGATTCCTCTCATGGCCTCTTGCTCACTCATAAGGAAGTCTACAGGCAAGATTGACGGCCTGCAGCTTTCTGGTTTGTGTTATGTGGGAGTCAAAAGCTAAGTGAAAAGCTCCTCTTCTGGACTTTATAAGTCTCAACCTAACTGGAAAAAAGACCCAAGGACCCAAAGAAATCATAGTCTCCACTGCAATCACCAGAAAGAGCAAAAACAACTCGACATGCAGGAGGTTTGCAGCTGAAGGTATCTTGATTCTGCCTGGAGACCAAAACTTTTTTCCAGGGTTAAGTACTAACAATACCAACTCCTCACTCCATCCCACTTTCCTTCTGTTCACTGCTTGCATCCATTACTGCAGAGTATGTGGACCATTACATTAGTAAGCCACAGCTGGAACCTCTGCAGTTGCTACCCCATCCTACCGACCACCCTGGCAAGCATAGTGCTGAGCAGCAGAACCACTGTGGTTAAAGGGATGCCCATTGCTGAGGGAGAGGGCAGTGAAGACACCTTAACTGCTGTGCTGAGAAGATGGACCGGTGGAAAAGAACTGGGGAAGTCCTGCAAGGTTTGCCTATCCACCACTTGCTCGCGATGGGGTACAGTAGTCAGGCACAAGCTAATCTTGCTAAGAATCTGAATGAAGTCACTGTAAACCACGAGCGTCTCCAAAGCAATGTTGGAGAGAGAAGAAATCCATTTCTACCCTGGCCATATTGCATAAGTCTGCTCTGTGGTTGTAGCTCCACCTTCACTGCTAGAGTAGCTATCTTCTAAACACCCTTGCCGCTACTACGTAGATGGAAATGGCCTGAAGAGTGACTTAGTTTGCGGTGCCAGACATCCAGCGGTACATAGCTCTGCTGTTTCAAACAACCACCTCTGTAGCTGTGACTAGCTGAAAGTTGCTCTGTCTTTCCAGCAGCCATGCTGCCCAAAAAGGCTATTGCACTTCTGGTGGAGCAGACCTTCTCATGGATGGGTGCATACCACCTCCCAACCCACAGCTGAAGGTCCTGTGATAACTCCCGCAGACACCAGGCTCTATGTTCCTCTATTTGGTGGATAGTAGTTAGGTCTACTTAACTCCTATTCTAGGTTTGAAGGCCATCTTGTCACTTTGCCTACACTTCTTTATCTGCCAACCATCATCCTACCCATCAATCCTACCACCATCTACCACCATCATCCTACTCTTCATCTGCCAGCCATCATCCTACCCATCAGTCCTACCACCATCATCCTACTCTTCTTAATCTGCCAACCATCATCCTACCCATCAATCCTATCACCATCTACCACCATCATCCTACTCTTCTTTATCTGCCAGCCATCATCCTACCCATCAATCCTACCACCATCTAGCATCATCTTACTCTTTATCTGCCAAATATGATCCTACCAATGCCCCAATGGAGGGCTAGAGGCCCCATGACATCTAGAACAAGAGGCCATCCTTTCTGCTCCTGAACTCTGCAAAGCCCTGTGACAGTTTGCCAAACACAACGTGTTGGTGCCCAACAGAAAAAAGGAGGTTGCTAGTTTACCACTGTATCATGCAGCACATACCCAGCTAGTAACCTCAACAAACTCTACTAGAAAGTCACAGCTTTCCGGCAAATATCTGCATTGTACAGAGAAGAAACTAAAGCCTAGAGTGATGGGCCCAGTCTGAAACCTGGAGATGTCATTAACCATGAGTGTGTGCTGTACATACAGTGACTCCCTTTTGCCTGGCATCAGCCTTCTCAAATAAGCAAGACATGTTCTTTTCCCAGGACACATTTCTTTCCATGAAGCACAGCAGGAATCATCTGAGAAGTACATTTTTAACAGTTTTTGAGCAAAATTACCTGTTAGAGGAAGAATAATCCCATTAGAAGTGATCCAAAGATCTAGCCATGATGGAGGCACTGAATGGACAAAGAATCCCCCTGAGAGAGACCAATCCTGGAAACAACCTGAATGCAGAGCTCCTGACTCAGGTGAGCTTTGCACTTGGAAAAAAAACACCTTAGTACAAGACCTAAAAGCAAGACATCTACTGAACCTCTTCACAAGCAGAAAGGGCATTACCCTCTCAGGCTGGTAGGAATATCAAAATCACTGAACTGTCTCCCAGACGCTCCTTTTTTGCATCCATAGCAGAAGTAAGGTAGATCAGATCAGGGTCTCAATAAGCCTTCACAGTTCCCATCACTCATTCTGAACCAGGAGCAAAATTTGGTCCTTGAATGGATGGATCCCCATGACTTTTCCTTGTTCCAGGAAAACTGGAATAACTGTGAAACCCACCATGATTACTAGCCTGTCCTGCTCTGTCCAAGCTCCATCCTGGATCTTCCTTCCTTTAACCCGGCCCTAACATCTCCCTCCCCGCTCCCTGCATATTCAGAGCCAAATCCTATTTGTTTTCCAACAGGATTCCCTGGAGGACTCAAGCAAGCGGAATGGAGCCATTTTTTAGCTATGGGAAGAAGAGAATTTTAGTATTTGATGGTAATTTAAAAAAAAAAGGAACCAAAGCTGAATTAAATGTAGGAAGAAACAGCTGCAAACACGTTATGAAGCTTTCACAAAAGCATTAATGGATGGAAGACTGGGGAGTGCCACACAAGGGGCACGTATAAAAAGGGACCTATTTTGAAAGAGCAGCATGGAGAGGGTAAGGAAAGGAGAGTGGGACACTGACACTGGCATAACCAATTGAGTACTGTTCATTTTTGCAGTTCTGCCTAGGCAGAGCATTCAGGAAGGGAAATCCTTGCTCTAGTTCAGAGCAAACACAGGAGAGTAGCGGCTGGTCTCATACGGCTGGAGCCACATCCTTTTCCGCACGAGTTACTGGACAACCTTGGCCAACCGATATGCTATCTGCAGGGTCCACATAGAGGCCCAGAAGCAGAAGGGAGGGAAGTTTTACCTCTACCACCACACACACAGCCTTCCCCAGAGTGCTCACCTGGTTGTCGGCTGGAAAAAGGCCTTCTCAGCTGGCTGTGTCTCCTTGGGCAAAACCACGAGCGTTGAGGCTTTCGGGCCACCGGGCTGCGGCAAGGGGTAGGGCTGGGCTGCTGCCTGGCTGGTCACTGCGGGGACCCCACCAGTTGTAGCGCGCACGATCGGGGAAGGGAAATCAAACTGTTCAGAGTTAGTTGCAGCCACAAGGAAAGGTGTGGAGAAGGCCAAGGGTTGCTCGCCATGCAGGAAAGGATGCTCGACTAGCCGGTCCCCGGGGAAGTTAGCAGGCTGGAAGCCCGGAGGAGCAGCCTCCTCATGAAGGTCTATGAAGTGGAGAGCTCCCTGGCCAGGCATTTCAGGGGACGTGGTTGGAGCTGGGAGGGTGCTGGGTGGCTTTCCCACAAAGGGGTTGGTTGGGGCAGGAGGGCTGGCTAGGGGAGTGAAGGGATTGCCCAAAGTACAGGTGTCATCCTGCCTACTGCTTTCGTCTGCTGCCTCTTGCTTCCAGAAGTCAGCCTTTTTGAAGTCAATCACTGGAGCTACTGAGCGGGCAGGCCACTGACCCAGCAATGGCTTGGCCTCCCTAGCTGAACAGCTACCCTGCTCCGGCTCCCACAGAGAGCCTGCCAACCCTTCCACACTTTGGGATACCTGGGCTTCTGCTTTATTCTTTTGGCTTTGGCCTGGGCCTTCCTGATGCCCTGAAGGCTCCTCACTATCTCCCTGTGCCGATTTAGATGCTAGCTCAGGTGGAGACTTGCTGAGACCTAACCTTTCTGGCTGGTCAGCCTGGCTGTGGCTGGCCAAGGGCTGCTCCTCCAGAGCCGTCCAAAACAGCACAGGCTGGCAGACGTCAGGGTCCCCTGGAGCGTGTGGCTTTGCAGGGGGGATTTCTTTCAGTTCTGGGACTGCTGGTGCCGCTTCTGACGAGCCCCCCCCAGTGCCGTCCGCCTGCCCAGTGGAGCGTAGCTGGGTGATCTGTTGTGACGGGGCAGCCCCAATTAGACGGGCAGGGAAGTCGGGATTTGCGGCTCCCAATTTGTCCGAGTCGTCTTTGGCACCTAATTCGCCTAGGGAGAGTTTCAAAGGGCAAGTCTCGAACTGCTCGCCCGTCGTCTCCTCATTTATCTCTAACAGGCTTTCCCCAGAAGAGGCGTCCCACTTCGTCAACTCATTATTTTTCGCCTCCAAATTAACAGCCTGGTCCTCAGTGGCAGATTTAGCATCCTCAGCCATTAAAGGGATGCTCCCGGCTTTGGCTTCAATTACTGCTGGTCTCAGCGCAGGGGGGCTGGGTGCTGCCAGGGCCATGTTCTCTCTGCTTGCAATAGTATTTTGCTGATGCATTTTCCCCACTGGGCTTTCCCCATTTTCACTGTCACCTCTGACCCCTCGCTGGCTCCTCTGCAGGTCCGAATGGGCCTGGTCGTCTTCCTTGCTAAAATCCAAGGGCGTGAACCGCCTTGGAGGTTTAGGAGGTGGCATCCCCACATACAGCTCCAAACCAGATGCCCTGTCACTCTCTGTCTCAATCTCCTGGGGCTCAGTCCATGGAGAGGAGCCTTCTTGTGTCTCAGGAGAGTCAGGACGTAGCTGCACATTGCTTTCCTCTGCCTCCTCTTGCGTGCTAGCTGGGAGCCCGCAGGCTGGCGGCACTGCACCCACCATTACTACTTTACTATTAAAGCTGTGATCCCTTGCAGTCAGCGACAGCTCCACTGCATCTTCAGGCCACCCCGGTGGCAGCATGGCAGCAGCACTGTTGCCAGAAAGCACCTCACCAGGTTTCTCCAAATCGACGACACTTCCGGTCAGTATGTGCGATGCACTCAGAGAGCTGCTCTCCTCTTGAAAGACGCCTTTGTCTGACCCCATACGTTGTCTGCATTCATTCTCCTGACCCTTTTGTCCACTTTCAGCTAAGTCCCGGTTGCTTTCGGAGAGCCACTGAAATGGCTCTTGCCCTACAGTTGTCCCTTTATCTTCCCCTGGACTAGTAGGTTCCTCCTTGTACGTCTCAGTTGGTTTTTCCCCATGCATGTCTTCTCTGTACCATTCCTCTCTGGCAGCAGTCTGAGCCGTCAGTGGGGAAGAAGCGTGCTCTTCCCTTGGTATTTCCAGTGCAAACCTAGAGAACCAAACTTGAGAGGTGCTGTTTTTCCCACTCTCCACCAATGCGTCTGGGGACAAACGACTCAACGTGACCTCTTCCGTCAGCGTAGCTTCCTGACCCGCACTTGCTAAGCCCACCTCTGAGCCTTTTACGAGGGTGACATTTCCCCAGGTCTCTAGGCCTACAGCCACTTCATCATCAGTTTGCGGTTCAGCCATACTAGTTATCTCAGTCTGGTTTTCCTGAACAAGTTCAGTGCAACGATCTGTCGGGCTTGCCCCATCCAGGTCATCGATGTAGGCCATGCCCTCCATAGCTAGAGACCCAAAAAGGCTTTCCTCCTTAACTTCTGGCTTGAGTCTACTTGTTGCAAAGGCATCAAAGGTGTCATCCCACTCGGAGAGGGCTGGAGGAGCAGTGGGATCCTCTTCTGGCAGTGTGGGAGCAGTTTCTGGAACTGGGATGCGAGTGCTTTGGGCTGAAGACTCCTTTTGTGGGTCTTTAGGTCTTATGGAGGCAGAGGGACCAGAATCCGCAGACGAACAAAGGCTCTCAGTGACCTCTGCGGTAGCTTGCGGCCCAGGCGGGAAACTAGAGAAAAAGTGAGTAGGTGAGGGACAGTTTAGTACCTGCTCAGCGAGGAGGTCCTCAAAGAAAGGGTTGCTTTGCAGGGAGTTGAGGAATGGATTGGTGGGGGACAAGCATCCAAACTGATTTTCTTCATTAGCTGCAAAAAGGTTAGTGCTTAGCATGCGGGCAGGATGGACTACAGCAGCACAAGGGAACCGGACAGGGAAGCAAGGAGGTAAGTGAGAAGGAGCGTCTGAGCTGGTTTCTGCCTTAGGAGACACTTCCAGGCTGTGGAGGGAAGACAAAATAGTCCTCCTGGTTAATGCCATGACAGTGCTCTACGTGACACCACACACAGTACAAACACGCATGTTACAAGCTGGCAATGAGCAAATGTACCGTTTCTTTCCTGTCAAGCAGAGCAATGGCTATGAAATCAATGCATGGGTAGTGCATGCACCAACATCGCAGGAATGGCAGCCCTTGTTTCATGGCAGATCTAGGACCCCCCTTTGGCTTGTCTCTTTATGACACATGGCTCTGACACCCAGGGCAGAATCGAGAACCCAAATCCCTTGCTCCATCAACTGTGGCCCAAACTCTCCACTCGCTTGTCTGCAATCAGAGGCAGGTTATGCCCTGCTGAGCCTGGGAATTGTCCCACTCTGTTCAGCAGGGCACCTGGCTTACTCAGGTTAGTAAGGGGTGGCAGTGCAAGCCTTTAGTGATAGAGTCTGGGGTCTGACCGCTTGCTTTGCTTCACATTGGAAAAGCAGTGCAAATGCTCTCAGCACACTCCCTTCCCTTCCCACCCCTTCTCCCTGGTCAGGAAATGAGCCGTGATAATGAATCGTAGGCTGCTATTATGGGAGGGCAACTAGCTAGAGCACAGGACTGGCGCTTTGGGTTCAAGCCCTGGCCTTGTCACTGGCTCCCTGTGCCACCGTGGCCAGGGCAGTTCTGGTCTATGGCTCAGGGAGGCTGAGCACTCCCAAATCCCACGGGAGCACAAGTAGACTGCAAGGCCCTCAGCAAATCCGGTCTCTCTCTGCAGCTCTCTGCCCATAGAGATGAGGTTTCATCCCCTGCTTTGCCAAAGGGCAGGGGCCATTTTGCCCCTTTATGGAGCCTTCCACCCAAACACCAACTTTTCATACTCCCGAGCGTGGCCTCAGAGTCCCAAGGGCCACAGGTCAGCAGCACTGGGTGCATTACAGAAGGGGAAACTGAGGCACAAGGATGAGAAGAGACTTGGCACACTGTCATTCTGGAGTCTCTGGTGCTGCTCAGGGTCCCCTGCATCAGGCACAAGAAAAGCCTTTTTTACCGCAGCCTGCTTCTCCCTCTACTTACCAGCCAAGACCCAGCAGCAGCAGCCAACTGCTAGAGGCACCAGGGTGGGGGCCTGAGGTCCCTTCTCTCTGTAGCTCATGCAGAGCCCGAGACCGTGCACCCCAACAGCCTAACACACCCACAGCCATGGAGGTAACAGGCACTTTCACAGCCCCCAGGTCCCAGGGGTGTCAGAGCACATCACCACCCCTACCAGGACCTGCTGACGGCCCAGCTGGCTGGGGGTATGACAAATCAAGCAGTCACACACTACTCTGAGGTGGCGTGGAGCGTGGTAGAGGAGCCGGGGCCGAGCCTTTCTGGCTGGGATGCTACGTGGGGACATGACAGCCTGAATTCCCTGAAAGCATTGTGCCGGCAGGTCCTGGCATGCCCATACAGCAGCACCCGCTGCTTCTGTGCACAGAGAGGTCTGCAGCCCACGTGGGACCAGCACCAGCTCTCAGATAGGGGCACAATGGTGCCAAGCCACGAGGGTGATGGCAGAGCGGGGGGTGGGAGAGAAGGTGCATTTCCCAGGAGGTCGCTTGTTCCCTACTCCAGAACTAGGTTGGGATACAGGGAGTGAGGGGCACACAGGAGCACTGCCGCTGGCATTGGGGCTTGCAGCTATTTACATCAATGAGCAATTCCAGCCCAATTAAAGATGGAAATGATCCGGACACCGATTCCACAGAACAGCCCAGCATCACTACTAGGGCAAGAGGCCTCCATGCGACACAGCCATCTGCATGGAGCCAGTTGGGCACATCAAAGCTTATGCCAGGGGGAATCAGATACCCATGTTGTCCAGAAAAAGCGTATTACATGGAGCCTAACTTCATGCCCCACAAAGAGGGAGACAGAGCCCCAATGGGCCGCAGGAACCATCATGCTCCGTGCACAGGACAAAATTCAGAGGAAAGAAATACAAAGCTGACACCAGCCCGGACATTGTGGGGATTACGGAGAC